AATATATAAAAATAATATAGAAATTGGTAAAATTGGTTAGCACAAGATTTTGATACAACATTTGATAAAAAAATATCATAGAAACCTATTGTTTATTAAAAGAATAAAGTAATTATAGAACTCAATTCTAATAGTGTTAAACATATAAGTGGAATATGTATTATAGTAGATATAATAGAATATTACAATGATGCTCTTAACTTGTACATAAATCATTAAGACAGTTCAGAGAGATTTGGGAATTGAACTTTAAAATTGTAAATAAAATCATTATAGAGTCAAAAAGGGAATAAATTAAATATGTTAGGGATTTACACTATTCACTTTAATTATGATAATAAGCAATTATACAATTTTTCAAAAAGTAAAATTTCTATAGATAAGACAATGATTTGTTGAATAAAATATTTATTTTGTAGGTATAACAGATATATATTTAGTTGTGAAGATCATTGTAAAGAGCATTTATAAAAATTGTATAATCAGAATATACAAATAGTTTGTAATAGGTTAAAAATTTGTTCTATTTTTTATAGAAATAAATTTACTAAATTATCCTCTAGCTCAAGATACACATGATATATTTGTGTATTATATTTTATTTTTGAAGAAGGCTATTTGTATAAATGAGAAGAAAGAAGTGCTGTTCTTTTATTTAATTATACAGATTATCATTTTGATGATATGCCAAAGTCACTTCAATTTATTGCAAAGTGGTTAAATGAAATATTCGAATCTCGTGAAAGAGATATACAATATTTATTTCTTAATAAAATTTTCAAAAGGATAATAATGTTTTTTGAAAAGCTAAAATCTGTTAAAAATTAAAAAAAATGATATTAGTAAAGAAAAATTGAAGAACAATATAACTAAAAAAATGATGATGATGAGGATACTAATTCAAATCAGAAAAAAATTATAAAAGAAAATTAATGATTCCTATGCTACTAAGCTTTTTAGAACTAAAAATCACCTTTAGATTAAAAAAAGTTAATGTTAAAAAATTTTTAGATAGTGAAAATTATTGTAATATAACTAAGAGAAATCTGAAACAATTAGGTGAGGCTTTGGCAACTTTACTTTGGCATTCAAGACCAGAGATTTAGATAAATAAAAAAAATTAGTAATGTCTAGTTTTTTAAAAGAATATCAAAGCAGTTTTCTATTAATACTTACAAATTTTTCATAGGTTAATAAATACTATCTAAAAAAATAAATAAAAAGTAGTTTTAAGAAAACAAAAAGAAAGAGTAACTTTTGACAAGAATTATGATAAAACATGTACTAAAAAAATTTTTGTATTTTTTATTTCAGTATTACTATCGATTATATTTTCAGAATTGAATATATGGTTTATCTATATCTTTAGCTTACTTTGCCAAAAACCCCAGTTATATATATTCTTATATTCTATATTATATGTTGCAAATATTATAGCCTATACTAATAGGGGTTTGGGTCAAAATCCCAACAAGCGAAATCTCACAGGTCATAATCCTGACAAAAAAATCCTGACAGTAAAAATCCTGACAGCCAAAACCTGACAGTTAAAAATCCCGACAATTAAAAATTCTGATAGAAAATAAGCTAACCCTTATCTAAAGTGACCTAACCCTAAAGTTAATTAAATTATAAAAGGTTACTTAGCTTTAAACATACCCCATATTTGGGATTTTCTACTTGAAAATTCGATTGTCGGGATTGTCGGGATTTTGACTGTCGGGATTTTTTATCGGGATTATGACCTGTCGGGATTGTGCTTGTCGGGATTTTGACCGGCACCCTACTAATAGATATAAAAAATATTTAGAAAAACAATACTATAAACAAATTGATATAGATAAACAATTGTAGAAAGGAAATAATATTTGGAATATTTGTATGGTCAGTAATATTGATCTTTAGAAAAGTACATTTAGTTATAACAATATTTTTGATATAATACAAAGAACCGCCTATACTATACTTTGAATGATATTTCAATATTAGTTTCTACAAAATATATTGTCTTGTAGAGCCATATAATTTAGAACTTTTGGTTTTCAAGTTAGGCAATTAACATTTATTGACAATGAAATAAACAATATTAAAAATATTTTTAATTTATTTGTTAAGAGCAAGTGGTTAAATTACAATGCTTTTAATATAAGATCTGCATTGCGAAAAAAATGTGTTAATAGGTTGCAATTTACCAAAACTGAATATTATAATATTAAAACCTGATGATAATCTGTATAACAATTTAAATATTTATCAAGCAATTAATATATACTTTGATGATATTGAAGTTAATAAAAATAATTTTTTAAACATATCTGCAGATCAGGCAATATTTCATAAATTATTTCTATTGTATAAAAGAAGACCTGAAATTCAGTTATTACTTGGCAGATGGTAATAAATAAATGCATGTTACATACTTTATTGGCAATTTTTTCTGGACATGGTATATATCAATTGATGATTAGTTTAGAGGGTTTTTTTCTTAAAAAACTCGAAAAAGTTGTAGATTACAATACCACTTATAGAGTCATTGAGTTAATTTAAGTTGCAGTAGATAATATGATTACAGCTTATTTAAAATATAATAATATAAATATTAAAAATATCAAATCTAAAAATAACAATATTTTAAAGGTTTGGTATTAGTTTTTTGTATGAGGAGGATATTGGGTCTTGCATAAGACTAAAATTCAATATAGAAACTATTGTATGCAATATTATAGCTTGGCTACTTTTGTACCTCTTTTTGCAGTAATGAGCCAGTATAATTATTCAGAATCTGTTGTTTATTATTTAGCCAAATAAGTAATAATCCTGTATTACAAGTTTTGTTAGAATATGCATATTCAATAAATATAATTAGATCTAAGTATTTCTTAGCACTTGATAAGGCTCTTGAGTCTTTAGGTATAAAATATATAAAACAAAATCTCAGAAAGTATTTAGATACTTTAAAAGATTTAAACCAAAAAATTGCTGCTATACAATTTGAAAAAACATGAATAAATTTACTTTTAAGTGAATTTATTGATGATATAACTGCTATATTCCAGAGAGTAATTTACAATCATAAAAAGAAGTATTATAGAAATTAATAATTTATTTATTAGAAGCATTTAACATATCTGATCCAACAAATCATTCTTTATTTCAAAACACAACTCAAAATTATAATGAAGGGTTTTACAAGCTTTTTGCTTGTTATAAAATCAGAAAGGAAAGGCTTCACAGTATTTACAAGCAAAATATAGAAAAGATAGTTAAACATGATCCAAAAGGTAGGCATGTTTGTAATATTGTGGTAGATACAGTGGCTCAACAAAAACAGCATGAATTACAAACACAAGAATCTAAAAAAAAAGAACAAATAATGATGTTGCAAATAGTAGAAAAGGAAAAACTCAAAAAATTGTAAAAAATGATGATAAGAGCTCAGATTCAATTACTCAATATCAAACAGAATGTCAAATGCAGTAACTTTTAACAATTTGATAGTTTTTCTTTTGTTTTTATTATTCTTTTGTATGATAGACAGATATGAAGAATCACTCAGATTTAAATAAATCATTAAAATTAAACTAAATAACGCACTAGAATATTTGTAAGAAATTAATTGTTTAAAAACCATAATAAAATTTTTCAATCTTTGAAACAATTAACTAACTTTTTTAAAATTTCTTCATTCCTATTTCTAGGGATAGGTTTGGTTACAATCGGTCACGATTATTCATAGTCAATTTTCTAAATACTGAGATGATTTTTATGTTTGGCTCTTAATTAAAGTTGTTCAGAATTAAATTCAGTTCATCCCATCTTATAAGTAGAAAGAAAGATACCTTCTCTGGAATTTAGAATTTTAAAAAAATCATCTTGTATTTAGAAAATTGACTATGAATCATCGTGACTGTTTGTAACCGAACCCATCTCCACCCATTTTGATAACAATAACTAACATAAAGTATTCTTATCATTATATCAATAGATTTTTGAAATATTCGAATGTGATAATTCTTTTCTATTCCAATACCATTAAAATAACTAACTATATATTTCTTTGATACTATTTATATAGCAGATTGTTGGTAATAACTAAACGTTTTACGTTCATCCTTTTAATCTCAATTTCAACAAAAACTAACTATAAATGCTTCGTTAGCATAATTCATATCCGCAGATTTTGAAAATATTCAAATACCTACATTCATCTTTCTCAATTCCAATTCATCTATACTAACATTAATCAACCTTGAATATTTCATCTGCATCGTCCATGTTCATAGATTTCTGTACCGGAAAAGATTAATTAATTCAATATTAATTTCGTTTATATAATATCTAAGCTTATTAATTAAAACTATAATGCTATATTTTTTTTTAATTTTTAAATAAAAACTTCGTAACAGTATGTATTCAAATAAAGTACCGAATAAATCAGAGTGGCAAAGAAATTCAGTTATTTAAGAAGGCCATAGATTGTAAAGAATCTCAAAAATTATCTTTATTTTTTTAGTTGCGCAAAAGAGACGCGCATTTAATAATAAATTATCAAAAGAATTTTATTAAACTATTGTAACACATTGAACAGTTTGTGTGACATATCCCCTGACCGTTAATTTTAGCTCTCACGGAGATCATCTGATTTATCAATTATTACAGGGGTATACATGTTCAATAAATAAAAAACTTTCAAACCTGTCATTTGAACCTCATTCGTGGAACATGTCATCTTTTTTTATATCGGATCGGCGTGAAAAATCATACCACTTTATAGTCATGTGCACACGTGATACACAATTACCTTTATATAAACCCTTCAATTTTTTCAATTGTACGCGTAACTCGATTGATATTCGACTTACTCTTTAAACTAACAAGCTTAAAAATGGATAAATTCGTTCAGAAAAAAAAAGGTTCTTGTTATTTACTATTATTGTTTAATAAATTAGAATGTTTATGCAAAAAAAAACGAGATTTGTCGGAATTCGATAATTCTTATCATGTATACTATCAATTCTATAGTTGTTGAAGAAAGAAAACGTCATCGATCCAATAACATTGAAGAAGTGGATACCGTTCTTAAAAAAGAGGCTAAAGTTGGTTAGTTTTTTCTCATTGCTTACAAATGTGCCTTTATTTTCTATCTATAATCTTATATCATTCTTTCGGATCATTCTATCCTCTCGATAGAATTTACTTCTAGGGTTTTTTCAAAACATGGCATTCATTGGACTTTACATGATTCACTTCTAATTGGTCAATACATCAAGAAGGGTGATAAATTTGAGAGCCGTGCAAATATTGCTGCATTTGATCTGGTGCATATAACAAAGAAAAAAATTATATTTTATTTTGACAATTATTTATAATATATAATTTCACTTTATTTATATGTTTTTTTTAGGATGATACACTAATCACGACTAAAGGTACTAACAAATTTCCAAAGGATGCTAATGATTGGAAATGGTGGAATAAAAAAGTTCCAGAAAGACTAGCCAAACTCTATGAAGAAGGGTATGTATAAACTTTTATTCTTCGCTTTATGATTATGGTATTGTGACAATTTATTCAATAACTTTTGGTCCATGTTCAGGTACAAAATCATCATTATAAGTAATCAAGCTGTATTAAATTCCGGAAAAAAAAATAATGATAAAAAGAAATCTGACTTTAAAAATAAAATCGAACAGATCGCAAAGAACGTGAGATTTTTTTCAGCATTAAATTATTTATTGTACTTATACGATTCTTTAAACCTAACTATTTTTCTTCTTAAGTTGAATACGTCATTTGAAATTTATGCTGCTACAGGTTATGATAAATATCGAAAACCTATGATCGGAATTTGGAATTATTTTGTTGAAAAACGAAATGTTGGCGTTACTATTGGTGAGATAAAATATTTTGTGTTTTGTAATATTTATCAGTTTATATTTTGTTAATTCTTGAAAAAATTAGATAAGAAGAACTGCTTTTATGTGGGTGATGCTGCGGGTCGCGTTAAAAATTGGAAATTTGGTGCTCCCAGTGATTGGACTGACACTGATCGGTAAATCGATTGTCTGTATAGATTTTTTAAATTTATGAATTTAAATTTGAATTACTTAAGCGCTATTTTGAACAGGAAATTTGCGGAAAATATTGAAATTAATTTTTATACACCTGAAGAATTTTTTGATAATGCTGAAGCTGCTCCATTTTCATACAATAACTTTAATCCAAAAAAGCTTCCACGGGATGGTTTGTGTCAATTATGAATAATTGAAATGAATTCTCTAAAGATTTGTATCTTTTTTCATTAAATTTGTTCAAACCATGTTTTAGTTCCGTTATTCACACCATCATCACAGCTTGCTCTGCCGGCTGGGAAATGTGAAATGGTGATATTAGTTGGGTACCCAGCTAGCGGAAAATCAACATTTGCTAAAAGATGGTTGGTAAATGATGGTTATGTGCATGTAAACCAGGTATTGTAATGATGCAATAATTATCATGCTGGCATCGATATATGTGTTTTAATATGTGTTTTAATATATGTTAATAATATTATAGGATGCATTGAAAACAAAACAAAAATGTATTAAAGCTTGCGAAACAGCTTTAAAAGAAAATAAATCAGTTGTTATTGATAACACAAATCCTAGCATAGAAGGTAGAAAACAATATATTGACATCGCAAAACAATACGGGGTTCCAGTTCGATGTTTTTGGTTCCAAGCATCGGAAGCATTAGCAAGACATAATAATATGTATAGGTATTTTATTTCAACAAATGAGGTAATTATGAAGATGTGAATATTTACTGTCCTAAATAAGTTATTTGCTCATGACTGATTATTTGGGTTTATAGGTTCGACCATTACCAGAAATAGCATTCAATGTATATAAATCCAAATTTTCCGAACCAAAATTAGAAGAAGGATTTCAAGAAATCAAACATATTAACTTTATATTTGAAGGAAGTGATCATGATAAGAAAATATTTGATTTGTGGTATTTGTAGATATAATTTAGAGAACTAATAATATCTACATTTATTGTAATAAGAGTTAACTACAGTGTGTGTTTTAATTAGTTTTAATGATTTTGTTATACTATAGCAATGATTTGATTTAATTTCTAATGATTTATTCAAACATATAAGCAATTGTTTCCATTCTTTGATATGTTAGCCAACAATGTTGCATTTTTGAATTATAACTTTTGATGAATCAAGGTACAATATATATGAATGTCTCCCAGCAATTCTAAAAATAAATTACTATGAATTTCATTATTTTTAGATTTGTTGGTTTCACTTGGCGACACTCATGAGATTTTATTTTTTAATACACCATTTTGCAGGCAAATCTGCTTGCAAATTTGTAATGGATAATCAAGCTATTAAACTATATTGGATCGTATATCAGTTCATTTTATTGCGGTTTGAAAAAATTTGCAAATCAATTTATGATTTCCTTTAACGGCTGATCATTAGATAGTATGGTGTCAATAATCTTATACATAATTGTATAAAGAAATTGTCTAACAAATCAAGCGATTCCTTTTAAACCGCAATAAGCTACACCATGATAGTGGGATATAATACGTAATATATAGTACTAATAACTTTAATATATCGCTGCATATAGTACCATGCGTGACAAATAATTTAGATCAATTTTAGATCAATTTTTTAAAATATTATTTATACGATTATGTGATATAAAATACGTGTGATTTTTAATTTTCCGCTATTTAAAAAATCGGGTCACGCCGGGTACTATATGAGCGTTATACGGTAATGATTCAATTTCTTAGTCGTAAGATTTTTTGGCTTAGCCTAGTATATACAGATTCAATATTATTTTTATATATGAGTAACACAAAGAGAAAACTACGTAGACTTCGGGCTTTCAAGTTTATTAATTATTTACCGGTATTATTTATATACTATTTTGACAAATCTCAAACGTTTATTGGATTATTATATAACGATTGAAATCTTTAAGAAAAATAAATAAATAAATAAAAATATAGCAAATTAATATTCAATATCACTTAGTCATTGAATATAATTTTTATTTTGAATTAATAAAGTTCTAAAATAACTAATATAAAGATACCTAGTTTTAGCTAAAAATTTAGCTTACTTGTCCCAGTAACCACGTAGAGGTATATCCTATAACTAGGAAAATGTTTTGACAAAGAGCTCGCCAAAACTCAAGCATGCTAGTGAACTTAGTTTTTCAAGAAAACTAATTAGATAATCCATTGCTTCCTAAGGCTCATGTTGACAAAATGTAACCCGCTCGAAAGAAACGCGAGAAAATAAATATAAAAGCTAGGAGTGTTTCGATTCTATAAGGGTGTTTCGACTTTATAAGGGTGACCCAACTTTATAAACTTTATAATGGTGATCCAACTTTTGTGCCTCTTTGAGTTAAGGTGTCTGGCATAGTGGCAAAGGCATGCCATAGTGGTATGCCAAATTTGTTTTTGGCATGCCATTGGGTACAGTATAAAAAACTATATTTATAGTATCTATACTATATATTGGA